TCTTTCACTTGTGGGTTTTTTTTTCATGACCTAGGGTGGCACAAAATATTATTCGAAAGAAAAAGAAATCCCGCCAGCACCCAATCTCAACTTAATATTCAAAAGAGAGAGTCCAATAATTGACTTGACCCAGAATGCTGAGTTTCTCATTCCTTGTTTACATTTCAGCACTGTAAACGAATGAAAGCAGTTATATTACGTCTTCCAGGAGTCTTGGTGTTTACTAGGAGGAAAAAAAAGGCTATTTGAAAGTCATGTCAAGCCACTAAACTTAAATGAGAGTTACGTATTTATCTTTATTTGAATCTGTTTGCAAAAATATTAATCTTTTCTTTACCCTAGTCTGTTTGAGGGAGATTAAAATGGGAGACAAAAAAAATCCCGTATTGTGCGTGCGTGAAATGTCAACCGTGAGTGTATGTGTGCGTGTGTGTGTGTGTGTGTGTGTGTGTGTGTGTGTGTGTGTGTGTGTGTGTGTGTGTGTGTGTATGTGTGTGTGTGTCATATATGCAGACTTCAACATAAGTTAAGGACCACCTTGACAGACAGTCCTGACATTTAAACAATCTGAAATAAAGACAGCAAGGATTGTTTCAACTTTTCTTGCTCTGAAAGTGTCAATGGGTTACCAAAGTGTACTGCAAAGCTTCCTAACAGGCCAAAACCACCACGTGCAGCACGGGAATCCTCGTGGAAGTTTAGCAACTGTTGCTGTTCTTTATTGACTTGTGTGCGACACCACAGACATTCCTCAGTTAAAATTTCTGGTGCACGTCATAAACGGACGTACGGTCTCGAACTGTGCTCACTTTGGGGGCAATATAAGCTGCCGTTTGCGCAAAATCCAGTATCGCAGCAACCTACCACCATGACGAAAGCTGAGAGAGTTTGATCGTGCCAGAGCTATTGCATAGCTGCAGGATGGAGTTGGAGCCCAAGAAGTTGCCAGAAGGCTTACAGTGCCACACTCTATCATTGTCCCCTTGAGGCAGCGCCATCAAGCCACTGGATCAGTCCAAGAACGCCTACGTGCGGGTCGACCCAACAAGAACACCAAGAGTGTTTGCAAGTGGTCCTTAACTTGTGTTGAAGTCTGTATTTCCCGTGTGTGTTGATTACGATAATTTTGAATCAAGTATCTTCATCTGTCTGCTGGAACCTTATACCCCTTTGACCCCAGTTGTTTTTTTCTGGAAGACAATGTCGAAGAATCATGCGTTATCAATAATGGAAGATTCATTGTGGTGGCATAAAACACTTACGATTACATTTTTTTTTCTTTCTCACCACGTCTAACATTTTTTGCCTTTATTTTTTTTTCAGCCACACGTATTCTGCTTGTGTTTCAACAATGCTTGAGACAACAACAAAAAAAGAAAAAAGAAAATGAATGATAACAAAATCCGTGACAGCAAGTGGATTCAAAACAGCTCTTTTATAATCGGAAATTTACGCTATTCAAGGGTTCAAATTTGGCATCATTGTAAATCAGTTTCTCTTGTTTCTTCGTTCATGCAGTATCCAAAAGTAATGCTGGCATCACCTTTGTGGTTTGTTCTTTTTTTCCGTATCAAACATTTATTTTCAAAATCTCTCCTTCTTTGCTTTGAATGTGACTCTCTAGTAACACTTCCAATCATCTGGACTTATTTGACCCAATTGTGTTGCAAGAGGGGTCAAACTCTTACCAAAACTAATACCCAGCACACTACTTCTCTTCTCATGATATTTCACTACCCCTGCACAGGTCGACGTAGATGGTTCCTTCAAACTGTTCCAAGAATATTGAATATTATGTTTCTAAGGAGGGTTTGCTTGATTCTACAAAGGTTACTTGTATTTGTATGTAAATCTATGCCTACGTTTCCTTTCGTACTATGCCAGCTTTTGTTTTGGGTAAAGGTACATTTCAATAACCCCCCCCCCCAACCTCCGCCCTCCCCCAGGCACACATTGTTAAAATAAGTTAAAAACGTCATTCGCATATGACGTCACGGCCACCAAAAAATGGCTACACTGAGAGTGGGCGATCTCGAATAGCGGTAGTTGCAAAAGAATTTTTGAAAAAAGTTTCAAGTTTATTTTTACCATGTTTGTTAAGTTGCATCTAGTTGCCCTGCCTGTCTAAGGGGCTAGCAATTAATTTTTAAGTTATGAGTTTAATTACCACCTCCATTTGACAGAAAGCCTTGTATACTCCGAAAAGGGCAGTTTCCTCAGTTCATCCAGCTGTCACGGGTACAGGTGCTGCCTTGTAGTTATAGCGACCTGGGTTACCATTGTCTCTAATGAAGTACATGTATTGCCATGTGCCATATACAATGTATTGTGGGTTTTTTAATATAGCGTTACCAAGTAGATTATAAAAGAATACGCCAAAATCATCGCACGATATTTCAAAAAAGAAAATCAATAGAAAACTCCAGCCTGAACACCTATGTTGTACAGACCTTCAAGTTTTTATTTCAAGTTTTACAAGTGCTCAATGTGGTCACCACCGGCAACACGGACAACATCAAGCCAATATGAGAGTTCCTCCCAAAAGCGCCTCAGGATGTCTCAGGACACTGTGTTGATTGTAGCTATTATTTGATCTTTCCTGTCATTTATATTTGCTGGAAGTGGTGGACCAGAAACTTTGTCTTTAACATACGCCACAAGAAGTGTCTATTCCCTTTACTGCTCGCAGATTCAAAAGACTTCATTTTTCATCATGATGGAGCATTGCATCATTACTTTACTTTACTTTTATCCGCCGCTTATACCCTTTTGGGTGTCGCGGGAAGAAAGAGACGTCTCTCTGTCACCAGCGGAGAGCTTGGGTCAGGGGGATGCTGTGAGTGTTTAATGTTTCCCTGACTCCATCTATCCAGGTCTTCCTCGGTCACCCTCTAGCATTGTTGCCATTGAATTTTTGGAGGTAGGCACGTTGTGCTGGATGGTGTGTTGGTACTCGTAGGAGATGTCCGAACCATTTGATTCTTTGGTGTTGGATGTGAAGCATGACATTATTTGTGCACATCATTTCTCGGATTACACAGTTTCTAATTTTGTCTCGCCTGGTCTTGTTTACTACTTTTCTAAGGCATCGCATTTCACATGTTGTAATTCTTTGCTCTAATGTCTTGTTCGTGATCCATGTTCGGCACTGATAGGTGAGTGTTGGGATGAATATGGTGTTGATTATTTTGAGTTTTGTTGTCATGGGGATGTTAGGATGTTTCAGTTGTGGGGTAAGCTGGAAACTTACATGTTTGGCCTTTTGTACCCGTGTTTCAATTTCTCTGTTTAGTCGCCCATCCTCTGTGAATATACTTCCGAGGTACTTAAATTCTTGGACCTGTCTGAGACTGTTGTTGTTGATGTGTATCCTGAGTGGTTTTTGGCTTTCTGCTTACTTTCATTGTCTCTGTTTTATTGATGTTGATCTTCATGTCGTAGTTGCTACATTCTTCGTTTAATCTGGTGGTGTGGTGTTGGAGACTTCGTTCATCTTTGTGTGTCAGGCATTGGTCATCAGCGAAGAGTAATTCATTTAGGGCGTCTGTTTCTGTGTTGGCCTCTTTTGTAATTCTATCCATATATATGATAAATAGTAGTGATGATAGGACGCAACCTTGTCTTACTCCGGATGTTATCTCGAACCATTCTGTGAGTACCTCTGACGTTCTTACTGTACTTATGCTGTTCTCGTAAATGGCACGGATGTTATCTAGAAGTTGGCCTCTTACAGTGTAGTTTTCGAGTTCTTTCCACAGCTTGTTTCTGTTCACTCTGTTGAACGCTTTCTCCTGGTCGATAAATAATATATTTAGTTCCCTGTTGTGTTCTATTACCCTTTTGCACATTTGTCGTAGGTCAAATATTGCGTCGGGGCATCGCCTCATTGGCATCTGGAAACGTGCCTCAGCGGTGGATTGCTAGGAGAAGTGCTAAGAACACCCCCCCCTCTCTCTCTCTCTCTCTCTCTCTCTCTCTCTCTCTCTGAAATTGGCCTGTCAGATCACCGGACTTCATTGTGTATGATTTTTGTGTGTGAAGGTATGTTAAATTACCTTTCATGTTGTATTTTATGTAACCTAGTTATGGTCAAGCTCTGTGATTGTGATTGTTATTTAGATATCTAGCGTTGCTTGTTCTAAACTATTGTATTTTGGTTGTATAACAGTAATGTGTCAAGACGATCTTTTAGTCATTTTCTGTATGCATTTTACATACTAATGTCACCCCAAATCTTCCCTAATTGAATGTTGCATCTTCCTTTGTGGAATAAATGAAAGCAAAAGCAGGGTCGTCGTTTTTGTTAACGATCCTGTACTTTCTCCCTCGGACGTTCTGTGATTACAATATGTCTTGGTATTCTACGTAAATTCAAATGGCACCAGAACTTCAACGGTTTCCTTTGCTTCTTAGCTTCTAGATAAGGAAAGTGAGTATCTATATGT